ATATAAGAACAAATTTGTTTTGATCGTGTAAACAAACATCCAAGAACTTGGTCCAACTTCTTGGACGATAGTAGAGCATGTTCTACTTTCCATCCAAGTTTTTTCTCCCTTAACCAATCAGCGTCTTAGGTTTTGTGACGTCAACAATCAGGCAGCAAATTATGTCATCTTCTTGTCTGTTTTCATATATTTTAGTCCAAATAAATTGATCTGTTGAGGTTTATTTGTGTTATTATGATTTTATTTGAATTTATTTAGTAATTTTAAACTTATGTAAGTATTATTTTATAATGTTGAATATGAACAATGCACATGCGCAAGTTTTTCTTTCAACGAGTCAGCGACATTCAAGAACTTGGATAGTGTCAACGAATCATCCAATTTCTTGGACAGAGAAATCCGTCCAATTTCTCGGATTCAGGTAATTGGACCGTGTAAACAGGCCTTTACGACCCAAGCTAAGATTAAGACAAAAATATTCACCCCACACCCCTATTCGAAGTGACCTTTCCTCGTAACCATAGTACCGGTTACGACGCGAGACGGATGTCTGGAGGAGTTCTCCTGAAAGCCGTACTATACCCGTTCTTTGCGCAGGATAAAACAAATAAATAAGTAAATAAATAATAAATAAATCTGCATTAATCAACATTGCGCAATCAAGCACAGAACTGAAAGGCATGAACCACCACAATTAAAAAAGATAATATAATTTCAATGTTTTTTTATTGTTATTAGATGTCCTTCCGGTCACTGTACGTTATTAGGTTAAACAAAACATGTTTTTAGAAGTCCAACTCATCAAAATTAAGATGATCTATACTCAGTTTCTACAGAAATTTATGCTATTGCTCGAGGACAGGCTAGATTTAAAAATTTTACCACAATCTAACATTTTTCTTCATTAATATCACCCTTTGGGACAAAACTCATCGTTTTCCTTTATTTCAGTTACCGTACCGTTGATTTCACATTATTTATGTTCGTAAAAACACGTCTCAAAAGCGTAACTTTAACAAACCAAACACGTGTCTCTGAATAGTTTTCAAACTACTTCGTTTACGTCACCCCATGATGGTTTTGACTCTGCATAAGTAGCATGGTAATTTTAAGAACGCGCAATAAACTTTTAGTTTTCAACCAAAGCAGTCTAGTATCACTGATTTTATCATTTGAATGTTTGAAATCACGAAATCAGCTACTGTTTAGTTTGTAACTATACCTTTTTTTTTTAATTTTTTTTAAATTTCTAATGGCAGAAGAAAATGACAAACTCTTGCAAAAACAGTGAACAACAAGTAAGAGAAAAAAGTCACTATCTCATTAACAGATGTCGGGCACTCCAGTAGCGCCTCACCTCAGATTCCCCACGCAGAGCCGAGCATCTCAATAGATGGTTCCTGTCCATAAGTTCATTATTCGAGCATAACGGGCAATTTGGGTCAGCGAGAATGCCGATGCGGCAGAGGTGGTTCGCCAGTCAATCATGGCCCACAGCAAGTCTGAATTCTGCAACAGCTTTATTGCGGGACTTATAGTCAATACCCTGTTCTAAGCTGTTCCTCCAACTTCTTGAAGAAATGCCAGAAGTGAGCAACGCTTTCCAGTTTTGTCTCATAAAATGTTTGATATAGAGTTTTGCCGAATGAAAGGATTTAAGAGTGCTTCGATGTTGAATTATTTGAGTGCCTTTCTTAGCCAGCCTGTGTAACTATACCTAATGCTAAACATATGAGGAAAATTCAGCTTTCAAACGTCTTCCCTTCCCGCAAGTCCCTATTCATTACTGTGAATTAACTTTAGAAAAGTCTAATTATATATTATGCGACTGCATATTAAGTGTAGTAAGAAACTATGAACCATTATGTAAAGGCCAAACCTCCTTCCAGCAAAACAATGAGCTGCTGTTAGTATATGTCTCTCATCGATTAAGGCACCTCCACACAGCTGTTTCTTTTTATTTCCATTGTAAATTGCCACCTATAAATTGGAAAAGAAAAATTACGTTCAAAATCCAAAGAAATAATATTTTTTAACATCCGTCATAATAGGGTATTTGCACTTCAAGAAGTAGACCCACACACGTGACCCATGACGCCAGCTCTACCTGATCGCTTATAAGCAAAATGGAGTATTAAAGCTAAGCTAAGTTTCTCCACATAAGTTAGAATGTTAATTAACGTGAAGTTAATTAAATACCACGCCGTATCGCACATCGAATTTATTGAAATATTATAATTCTTTCTCGTCTATGTATTTTATTTAACTTAGATTTATTATTTGTTTATTTATTTTATTGTAAACATGATCTATTTTTGTTTTGCCTACCTGACAACTTCGATGCCTAATTAGTTTGTCAATGTTCTACATGGCTTCGTGCCTAACTTTTGAGTAAAGTTAGAAATATTTATGAAAGAAGTGAAATTTTTGTGAAGGAATCTTTGTGTAAGAGTATAGAATATGTTACTTAAGAGAACTCATACTTGACGAGCTTGGCTCACTCGAAATAGAATGGAAAAAGCAGTTGCTAACGTAAACAAATGTCACGTTTCAACAACCAATCAGGATCGAAATACCCACACTACGTCACTTTCAGGTATTCCATTATGGATGGTGTTTTCAGTAGAAATGTAAACAATAACAATCTCGAGCTGTATGCCTGCTCTAGTTCCGGTTAGAAAGTTTGCAGCTGCTTACTACATGTTATTCTGCGAGGCGATATTTTCAAACGTATAATTCTGTTTTCAATAAAATAAATGAATTAGATGATTTCTGAGCTCAAATCTGCCGTATTTCATAGGATATTAATGTTATTATGCAATTCTGGTGAGTTTGAAGTGAAAATTTGTTTTAGTTATTTAGAGATATATTGTTAAGAAAGGTGACATGGTTGCTAGATTTTGAATAACTCGCTTTTTTGGCAGTCTTGATTTGGCCTCTTTCCATTTGTTTATTACTGTTTGTTCGTGTAGCAAGCTGTGCACCATCTTATGCTAGTGTAAGCATATTGTTCGAGGAGCAAGATTAATTTATGCGTTATAATTCAGGTTTAAATTTGAAAGTTGGCATATATATTATTGACACGTTGTGAGCCGAATGGCTTTGAAATACACCGGGAACAGTAACCCGGAGGTATAAGCGGTATACAGCTTTCAGCGCTCCCTAGTGTAGAAAACACCATCCATAGGAACCTCAGCTTGTTTCAAAGTTTATGAGTAAAGGAATTGCGGGAGAAGCCGACCACAATGCTGACGTAAAATATTCTCTGTGTTAAGACGGATCATGGGTTTTTCTCCACGTGTAACACGAATGTGGGTTGTTTCCTTATTAAATTCCTGAGGGAAACTAGTGAATTATTCCAGTGTATGAAATGTTTGAAATACAAAAATGTCTGAAATTTAAAAAAAAAGTATCTGAAATAAAAATGAAACAACCTTCTCAAGTGATAGTGTATGTATGGATGGTGTTTTCAGTAGAAATGTAAGCAATAACAATCTCAAGCTGTATGCCTGCTCTAGTTCCGGTTAGAAAGTTTGCAGCTGCTTACTACATGTTATTCTGCGAGGCGATATTTTCAAACAGATAATTTTGTTTTCATCAAAAGAAGTAAATTAGATAATTTCTGAGTTCAAATCTGCCGTATTTCATAAGTTATTAATGTAATTCTGGTGAGTTTAAAGAGAAAGTTTGTTTTAGTTGTTCATATTGTTTAAAAAGTATTGTTGTATATATTGTTTAAAGAGATGACATGGTTGCTAGATTTTGAATAACTCGCTTTTTGGCAGTCCTGATTTGGTCTCTTTCAATTTGTTTATTACTGTTTGTTCTTGTTGCAAGCTGTGCACCATCTTACGTTAGTGTTAACACTTTTAGCATTGTAAACACAAGTATTGTTAGCTGTTGTTGTTGTTGTTAATTTACGTCGCACTAGAGCTACACAATGGACTATTGGCGATGGTCTGGGAAACATCCCGGAGGATGATCCAAAAACATGCCATCACAATTTTGATCCTCTGCGGAGGGGATGGCACCCCCGCTTCGGTAGCCCGACGACCTGCGCGCGAAGTCGAGCACTTTACGGTAGCACAGTTTAACGAGGACCAATACCGCACACCCTCGGTCCCTACGCAGACAGATCCAAGTGGTCACCCACCCGCGCACTGACAGCAGCCAGTGATGCTTGATTTCGGTGATCTGCTGGGAACTGTGTCTTAACGATCAGTCCACTGCGGGACAGTATTGTTAGCATTGTAAACACAAGTAATAAGTAATCAAATACCACGTTTGCAAGAATCTGAAAAAACGCAATGATGCCAAATGGCATTAAAATACAACGGAAACAGTAACACGGAAATTTAGGCGGTGTCGAGCTTGCACCATCCATAAGGCCGTGTGAAGTTAAACGCAGATGACGCTGGAGGTTAAAATTCATCGAAAGACTTCCGGGCTACTACTTCCGACTGATTTTTACCACGAAGCTTGAAAAAACGCACCATCCAATATTATTATATTTGTAGTGTTTCCAAAGTAACACGTTCTTTCAATCTAACTTTCAACGAAATAAAACAGCAAATGAATTTGGAAGGCTCCCGCTAGCTAGCTATGATGCTACCCTAAAAATAACAACGATGCTATTTTGCACAAACATAACGAAATGAAGGATAGCACTCAAAACATGACTAACCTTACACTTTCTTTATGCTGTATTATTAATTTTGTTAAACTTGCTTTAGGCTCAAGACCTATTAGAATATATAAATTACAGAAAACTCTTATGAATGGTAAAATTAAGTGTATATTTAAACAAAATCGCAGTGATAAAACTTCCTAGAATTTTAAGCCTGTTCACCCATCGCCTCGGAAGCATAACATAAGCGGAGGTATACACCGGAAGTTTTCTAAATTTCTTCCGTTCTTTGGAAGTTTACTGTTGTTACATTCATTCCACCATCAGAACATAAAAAAAGATACTTAACATCCAGGGCCATTTGTGAGTCGCTGATCTACCTCCAATAGCAAATTGAATAGGTGGGATGGTGAATCCAGGAGGGCCGAATGGTAATGCTGTATTCAGTGGTAATTCTGTTCTTGGATCTACGTTGTAATCTTCTTCGGGTAGGATTCTTACTCCACATCCTGGAATGTTTGTATAAAGAAGAAAAAATATGCCTATTGAGCTGATCATGTGCGTCCTTATTTTCATCAAAAGCATTTTAAGGTGTACTTTATATACGTTTTGAAATAATTGTGATCGTCAAGCAACTTTGGCACTACGGTATTAAATAATACCACTAACGAATTTTCATACTTTTTAAAAAATAAAATGTATTCTAAAAATTTTTAGCGATTTTTTAAAAAAATATTGAAAAACTTACATCACTAGTTACGACTTATTATTAAATAAGATGACTTGCCTCATACAAAAATTTTATGTGGTTTCAAAATTTGACAATAAATGTTTTCATAAATTTGATCCACAGAAGTCTGAATATTTCGCGACCTAATATTTTAAAAAGCTTAGAAAACTGATATGAAACTCTTTTTAAAAATTACTTACTGCATTTATTCTGATGAATATTTTTCCCAATCGTAAAAATACAGGGTGTTTATAAAGTCCCGGACCCATTTTGATGTTTAATAACTCCTAAAATAATAAAAATAGATTAAAATTAATAACAAAAATGGTTAGATAGACTCAAAAAGTTTCATGACCCTTGTCAATGAACTTCTACGTGTGCTCCCTTCGTCGCACGGAGAATATCAAGTCGATAGTCAATTTCACGCCAGATAGCGGCAAGCATGTCGGCATCCACAGAGGTTACTGCGGCTGTAATTCTGGCTTTTAGGTCATCATAATCCTCCTGTAAACATTGTCCTTCATAAATCCCCAAAGAAAGAAGTCCAGCGGCGTTATATCAGGTGATCTGGGTGGTCAAGGAATTGGACCTCCTCGCCCAATCCATCTTCCTGGAAAATGGTCATTCAAAGAACTACGATCGATGATACCAACATATACCTTCGCATTCGATGATACCTTCGTATTTCCAAAACTAGAAGAGCTTCTAGTTGCGGAAACAACCAGAGACATGTCTTTTTGCAACAAGATGATGCACCACCTCATTGTGGTCAACATCAAAATGGGTCCGGGACTTTGTAAACACCCTGTACATTAAATGTTCGCATTGCATTTTAAGAAAAATCCGATAATTTAATTACTATTCTTGTAATTTTTTACGCATCCCATTTTTGTTTTTAAATGTCTCACAATGAAACAAATCTGTACTTGTTCAGAATATTAAGAACATGATACACACATAAAACATTAAATTAAAGATATTTAAAATTTATAGAGAAAATTTGCTGATTGATACCTTCGGGGTTAATGCCACGAAAATTTCCTGATTTTTCTTCCAGATCTGTGGGCTCTTCCGTTGCAGGTGTGTCGGGTAGCTGGCAGCAGATGTAAGGAATCTTGTCTGCCCAGCCACAGACTTTCGGGTAATTTCCCGTCGTAATATCTCTCGCAGCTGATGGACATGTAGTGATGAGGACGCAGTCACCCTCTGGACACCTCGGCCTGGTTTGGTAACGGACACAAGGTACACACACGAGGAAATTATTTAGGACCACAAAGGCTATAAAAAATACCGTTTCATTAAATGCAATTTGCACTTAAAATTCCATTCAGTGCTTATGAAATAAAAGTGCATATCATTATGTTTCTAATTTCTTAAAGAAAGTTTAGTACAGAGTTTTTTTTCATTAAGTAACAACAGTGATTTTGTTGCTAAATGAAGTGAATGCCCGTCGCAACGTGCTCGGATCAGGTGGAATCGATGGAGGATGAGAGTTTGTTTCTGCATGCTTAGTTGGTCAGCATTCACTGATGATCTGGTAAGGACTGGCACTCTCGCGAAAAACTCATGCAAGCCTAAAAGCAGGATTCAATAGAGCAAAAGTATTTTCCTCAAGTTTTATATGAAGCATGGCAAGTCTTTGAGAATAATTATCTTCTTCTTCAGCACGACAGCCCCTTACAGGCCTTGGCTGTCTCAACCACGCGTAGCCTCCAACGCCTTATATCATCTTTATTACTTTGAGATCTTTAGTAGTGTCATCCAGCCATCTAGTTGGAGGTCTTCCTCTGGCCCGAGATCCAGAAGGATTTTTAAAGGTGGAGATTCGTACTGCATTGTTTTCTGGATCTCTCCAGATAACTATGAGATAACTTACTGAGAATAACTATTCCCATTATAAAAATTTCGTTATTAATCGGAATGCTAAGTCTGCCAGTGGTATAAGTCATTTTTGAAGGTGTAAGGAGACTCGTCCTGGAAAGTATTAAATATTCAAAAAATTTCTGATTACAAGATTATGACGAACAATCTGCGGGTGTGCAAAGTTTATTAAGAAAAGCCGTGTCACTTTTGCATCTTGGCCAATTTAAAGATAGCAGCGGCTCCCAACCCATGTTACATTAAGTCTTTTGTTTTCCTTTTTGCACTTGATAAAGTTAAAAAAGGTTAGCACCAAGGCCCCGAAAGACATTCTGGAAGAGACTGTGACATCTTCAATTCCAGAAAATAAATCGACGTTTCAATGTTTCATTGTTTTGTACCTATTATATCAATAAATGTGTTTTTTAATCGACTCCTTGACATAACATTCTCTAATCTATATGTAGATACCTAGTGATAAACTTGTATTTGTTTTTTTTTGTAGCAGGCAAAATACCTTATTTAGCTTCATAAATGACTAAACAAACGTTTTTGAGGGAATTTTACTTGCTTGCTGTTTGAAACTAAGCAGATAGTAAAATTGTCCCGTAGCAAGTAGTAAAGCTTGTAGTAAAGTTGCTAAAAGGATAATAGGTGACTATCTGTTTTGTAATTTTGAACCTAATGCAGAGGACAAAGGGACTCCTGGATAAAACATTGGAAAAAACCACATTTTGATGGTATTAACCCTCATTTACGTTACACGGAGCGAAACCTTAACGATAATTTCCCAAGATTAGCCCGACGACAAGGGCAATCTAACTCATGACCCATAGACCACTGATGATATTTAATGTCAGCACTGTGGTCAGTGCAAGCCGGGAGGAGAAATTGTATCGACCAGCCAACACTCAGATTCAGACCTGGGCGGGTCATCTCATTGGGAGGCGAGAGCTCTATCCCCTAAGCCACAGCGGATCGAATCCAATCGTACATAGATGATTTTATTTAACGAATTGGAACGAATGTACTTGCAATTTATAGACTTTTTTACGACGATTTTCGTTAAATCACTTGGAATCGTCAAGCCTCTTTTTTTGTCCATCAATAAAACCACCGTACTGGTTAATGCGCAAGACCATTCTATTGTTGTATTTTGTTGATGCTTGGATAAAATGGGCTTTTCTTTAGTAAATCATGCCAGAAGCTATGGTAGCTATTCTAGATCAACAAATCCAAATTGGGTAGTGACATCGCTAAATAATTGCAGCTTGTTTACACAATGTTTGAGAAATTGCATTTGAAAATTTTTGAGTAAACCAAAAAATGGAATAAAATCTTTTTGTGTTTTTTCAGTGTTTTTCATATTTTATGAATCAAAAATGGAAATGGAATCAAAATTGAATAATTTAAAACCTTTCTGTGTTTTACAAGCCAGACAACATTAATTCTTAGATGATATAGAACTTATCGAAAAGTACTTACGATAATCTTGAGACATGGCTTTCACTCTTTAATCTCCAAGATTTGAATGAAAATTGCTTATAACATTAATGACAAGTTTGATAAAAAAAATGTATTTAATTTTTTTCTTAGATTTTTGATTTCTTTTGAACAATATTATTCTAGTCTTCATTGTAATTAAAGTCTAACTCCCCTGCCACAGACTCTTAGTCTGCAAAATATAATTAAATTGTACTTTCCATATTATTTTTTATTTAAAAAAAAACCACAGGGTGTAATATATATTTTTATAACACTTGTCAAAACTGGATAGAAAATTAATACTTGAAGAAGAGGATAGAAAATTAATTGGATAGAAAAATAATACTTGAAGAAGAGGATAGAAAATTAAATGGATAGAAAAATAATACTTGAAGAAGTAGCAAAAATGTTATAGAATTCTGGTAACTTTTAATTGAGGATGGTGGATTTAAAAAACTTCAAACCAGTTTAATTACCTAAATTAATTAGGCGTCATTTTCATCAATGATAGTACCGTAATTTTTTTCGTTTATACAAATTAGCATATATACAAATTTTAATTATATTTTCTTGAGATACTTGTGCATACACACATAGGTTCAAGGATTTTTTTTCATTTTACATTAAAATATCTAGTTTTTAAGTTAATTTTTATGTTTTTTGTAACATTAAATGCAACAAAAAAACTTGTATTTCTTAATATCTCAGATAATAGTGTAATTTGAATATCATCAGTTTCATTATAATCTATTATATAAATTTTAATTTTTTCACTCATGCTAATTACTTCTGTACTTTTCATAATACTTAGTTAAATAAGAGAAATTTAACGCACATATGTCTATGAAAAACACATTTTTTTCAGTTTCATCTGTTCCTCCATTCAATTTCACCCTATTTAATCTCCAGAATACTTGGAGACCGATTCACTTTCTTTTGCTGATTCAAAATATCTGTAAAATGTCTTCAAAAAGTCTGAAGATATTTATTAGTTAAGACTTCAAAATGACAATGACAAAAAATCTAAAAATATTTTAAAGAAAAAATAAATCTTCAAATCTGTAAATTTCCGAAGAAAGTCTTAAAGAAAATGAAAAAAATCATTTGGTAATTTGTTTTGTTTAAATTCGATTAGATGTTTTTCTATAAGGATTTTCAATGTTAATAAAGATGAAATTCATTTTTTTCACCTAAGGTAAATTATAATTTGATTTAAATTTCATTCTAATTTACTTGTTCGTAAATGTATTCCAATTTTCAATGAAAAACTTATTAATATGATTGACATGCACCATTACTCCTTTTTAACTTTTGGAAGCAAAAATACGGATGAGTTTTATTGCTAGTAATAATTACATGAATGTGTGTGATTTTCGATAAATTATATCGATGTATATTGTTTCTTTTTCTCTATTTAAGTAGAATGTATCATATTACATAATAAAATAAACAACAGTGATAAAAGTATGACTGAAAAAGTATTTCGTAGTACCATCATATTTATACGGCAATAAGGACTATAAAAATATCAACATTAGTAATTATTTTCTAGAATTCTTACTTAAATTGCCATGATTCAGTGTAGGTGAACCAAAAAATCTAAGCTATGTGTTAAGTGATAGTTGTACGGGAGAATTTATAGCATGGATAAAAAGGTGGTATCTATCTTGGCATTGTTTTGTTTGCCAAAAACGAATAGAAAGTATAGTATTATTACAAACTAGTGGGCTGAGCCCCCTGCTCGCTAACGTTCGCCAACCCCCAAAAATTGCTACGCAATCTTATATGGTTTGCTTCTTATATGGTTGCAAACCAAGCTCGCTTCACTCGCTTCTAACTTAGGTACATTGCAAATGCACAAAAATCTAAGAATTCAAAATAATCATTCAAATCCATATAAAAGCTTAAAAAAAAAATTACATCTTTTTAGTAAATACAAAGTCATTAAAATAAATTCGAATTCAAATAAATGACATGTAATTCGTTAAACCTATTAGAAATGTGCTATAGTATAATTCGTGATATAAATCAAAAATCGTCAAATAAATTCGTAACATATAAATTCGTGAAAAAAAGCGCTTTCGACAAAATACTAAAATAGAGATCTATCGACAAAGGCTACTCACTTCTGCCTAGCTTAATAGTATCAGATTGCAGCAGCTGATGCTCTCTGGTTATTTCAGTTTACGTTTTTAAAAGAGCTATATGTTGAGCCACCTCAGCTAGATTTGGCATGTGACATTTTTAGCTGCAATCATTGATCGATTCGCTGTCAAAGCAAACGTTGCCACCGGAGGAAGAGAAATACAGCTAAAATTTGGGAGCCACGTAAGAGAATTATATATATTAGATACTAAGAAACCCATACAGTGGGAAAGTTTAAAAACATGGCCTAAAAATGCATTTGTTATATTGTATTGTTTTATTTGCCAAAAATGATTATAAAATAGTAATATCACAAGCACTTATTTAAGGGAACTTCATACTGTTCACTGTCGTTACTGTTCATAAAAGCTTAAATCCGAGCAGCGAAAAATAAACAGTTGGTAAAATTTATTTGTAATTTTTTTATTTATAAATTATACAAATTTATGTTTATGCATGATGCGCCATTAGATGCTTTTCTATCATTTAGTTATTTCAATCTTCTAAATCGTATTTTTTTTTTGAAAATATTAATGGGCTAATAAATTATTTTTTAGGCTGATTTTTAAAACGTAGTGTTCTGTTATTAGTAGACTGACAGAATAATTTGACAGAACTTGTTTCCGTAGTTCATTAGTTGAAATAGGGATTCACTACCTGAAGATAGGTGGCTAAATGCGGCCTGTGAATAGTGAATGGGCGACCTCTTGCTTTTGTACCAAAAAATATTTATTAGAACTACATATTTAATAAAAACTATTAATATTTTATAAATATTTTTCGAACTAATTTCAATAAACTTTGAGAAAACACTACAATTAAAGCTTAAAATTCCAAAATGTTAAGGTTTTAATCAAGGCGTTATTTAAATTTTAGGGCAGTTCTACTTCTTTATTATAAAAGTAAGTTTTCTTAAGAAAAAAAACATAATCGAAACTAACATAGTTTCATGATTTTTTATTTTAAAATAAACTAAAAATGAAGTTATAATTAATGAAAGGTTAATGAGTAGTAAAATAATTTTAATTTAAAAGTTTTATTAAGAAAAAGCAAGAAAGAACAAAGCATGGTAAACTCTATCTTTTTATTTCTAAAATATTATATGCATTCTACAAGGCTGTATTTTCTTTTTTGAGACTGGTTGATGTTTTTTATTACTAATTAGACAATATACAATTAAATTAATTTAATTAAACAATATACAATTAATTATACAATTAAATTATAACCGATATAACTATAAAAAAAATACTTACCTCCCTCCCACCGATACCAATTTTTTTTCCCGCGCAACTATTCCAAAATAAGTTGTGCCCCCATTGAGACATGATTATAGTCTGATAAAGTTTCCGACAATTGCATGGAAGCTTAATGACTTAATATTACATAAGAAATTTATTTTATTAAAATGTTCTTTTTTAAATTTTAAAGAAACAATCTAAAACATTTCAATTTTTTTAAAAAAGAAAACTTTTTTTTAAATTATACGAAAGTTTGTCATACTTTTTTTTAAAATTATTTGTCTTTAGTTTATTCTTAATTTTCTCAAAAATAATTTCAATGATAGAGAGGTATTATTACACATAACATATACGATACATGAATAAATAATTGTTGAAAAGAAAACACAAGAATGTGAATGTCTTACTTATAAGATATTTCCCAAAACGTAACATCCTTTGAAATACAAACAGGAAATTGAGTGTTTTTTCCAAATAAATAATCAGTTTAAGAAAGAGAGTCCATTAAAACACCTTTTTCTACTCTTTACTTTCAAATTTATAACCATGTAATCAAAATTACACCTTTTCAATTGCTCGCACAACCGCAACAAAAAACTACTTCGCAACTAGACATTTTTTTTATTATTTATATCTCAATCAAACTTTCAAGTGAATGAGTGATTTCCCTCCCGGATTCTGTGTGTGTTTCGGACCAGTATTAGCCGTAGGGTCAAATGGCGAAAGTTATTTAACAAAAAACCCGTCTTTCGTCAGCAGCCTTATGAAATCACGTGTCATCTGAAAGGTAACTGTCTCACTTTTACTTTCTGATTACTCAAAAAGCACATTTCAATTACAAAATATATCTGCTATTGAGGTGTCGTCATTTTATAGATGGTGGGGATCCGACAGATCTTTTCTTTTTTTCTTTTCTTTTTACTTTTATAATTTTAATAAAAAAGTAAAAAAAAAAATAGATCATATACAATTTCTTCTATTATAGAAAATCTATTAAGTTTTCATAATGGATGTATAATACGCAAATTAAATAAAAATAAAAATAAATGAAGAACTTTTGTTCTAGAAATCTGATTTTAACGTACTAGATCAAAAGTTGTGCAATTATAGCTGTTTGAAAATTTAAATTTATATTCAAGCCACCGACCAGTGGCCGAGTGGTTAGCGTGTCTGATTGCGGAGCCGTTGGTAGCGGGTTCGAATCCAGCTCAGAGCATGGATGTCTCTTTCTCTCTGTGTTCCACGTCCTTTCTCCTTTGTGTGTGATTGTGTGAATGTGACCCGCTCTATAAACGGGGTTGTGTGACGTGGGCGACACTGCTCCCCGCCGTGGCTTCGCCACAGGTACCCACTGGGTAACGAGAAGAGAGTAAGCAGTACTGGCACTTTCTGAGGCCAATGGACGATAGTTCGAAGTGCCCGCCATTAAAAAAAAGATTCAAGCCAATTAGAGCAGATGGTTTTTTAAATTACAAAATCAGACTCATAAACGTATTTCTTCCAAACACAACAATCAACGGAATTGGATTCTTGTCTCTCAAAATATGGGGATCCAGTTTGGTACTTTGGTTTGCAACTCGAGAAGAAGTGAAGTGATTATGCCTAACCACGTGATTTGAATTAGATTTAATTTCATTCCCGTAAGCGAAGTCACGCGTGTGTTTCAGTGTCTGTAACCTGATTGTTTTCTGAATCGGCAGTCCTCGATTTACCTACGATGATGTCACTTGCAGGTATCCAACTGACTAAACTCCATTCTAGATCTCGGTTATCTCCAATATTTTGAGGATCGAATATCAAAATTTGCTAAAAGTGGGTATAATATTTATTCAGAAAAAGTCGTTTTAGTGTCTGTAACTTACATGTAAGTTGTAGTGACTTCATTGGATTAACAGCTTTTCTTTCTAATTTGAACAATACTCATGTCTTTAGGTATTTTTGGCAAAGATGCTTTAAATTATTCGAAAGAAAATGCTTTGTACTACTGAAGTCAATGTCTTTTATTTTATTTTTTTTTTTAGTTTAGATTGCTTAAATGGAACAGTTGAGAAAAATAAGAATTTTCGGCACCCCTCTTCTTGCTTTCAATCATGATTTTAAGGTCACAAAGGCTGCTCGTGACACTTGTGCTGTTTATGAAGAGGGTGCCATAGATGAAGAACTGCTCTTGATTAGTGTTTAAAAATTGAATTTTCGACCTTAAAGACACACCTTGTTCTGGTCGTTCAGTAGAGTGTCGATGAAGAACAATTAAACCAATTCTCGTCGGGATTTCTTAGACGTTTTCTTCTTCGTTTTTTAAAAAGAAAATGCATGAAACTTTGTTGTCATATTGAAAGTAACATTTCAAACGTTTAAAGTTAAATCTTAATGCAAGGAAATTATTACATTTACATCATTTGTTTATCAGAAAGGTAAGTTTCTTTTCTTTCTTGTTCCCTTTATTTCCCCTCTTTTATTTATTGTAAAACAAATGGTTATTGGTGCCTAAATATTTTTTTATACAAGATGCTTACAAGAAACTTTTCTTTCTTTTTTAGTATATTTCTTAAAATTGAAGTAATAAATTTCTTATTAATGTATGTTTTTGTTACTGTTTGAGAGCAAATATCTCAAATTCGAACAATAACAAGAACAATAAAAAAAACAGTCTCCAGAACAATCAACAGTTTTCCCAATCTCCAGAACTTATTACGTCATCTGCGATCTGATTCATAAATTAAGCACAATAAATAAAATAAACAAATAAATAAATTAAATAAAAAATAAGACAAAAAAAATTGAACCATTAAAGTAAGTGAGTTAATGAATCAGCAAATACGCTGCAATATTTTTTGTTGTTGCAACTTTGCCACTTGTCAATACCAGTAAAGCCTGCTTAAAACCAAGCGAATTTTTAAGACAGAGGGTGTGTTTTTTCGCCATCTAATCCCAAGAACACAATTTCAGCCACGCACACATCACAGCCTGTTTTTCAGGGAGGGCCCATTTATACTTCATTCATTCATCAGCAGATCGTAATTGTGACCTGAACCAGAGAACGATCAATCTCCAATTCAGTATCCCCAGAGGTATTGATTTGTTTTGGGAACTTGGAGTACTTTGTGACCCCAACACATTTAAGGAGCACCAGCCACCAATAATAATATTAAATTTAAACTATAACTGATCTGAATGGAACATTTTAAGTTGTGCTTCTTGAATGGCCCTAAGAAGTTTGTAGTGAGCAGTAATTAGTTTTCATTTATGTCTATTACTATTTAAAATCTGCCGATTCCTTATGAATATTTGGTTCAGCTTCAAAAAATATATTCCTAACTACTAACTACAGTAATTACTTCCTCATCTTCTGATTGCGGTATCTTCTACATCACATTTTACTTCATTTTTTCACAGCAAGTAATGAAATTTTTAAGAAATCAACCTTCGAAATTTAAATATAATGATAAATAAAATTTACGCGTGGAATATTAATTAGATTGCAATCAATATTGCAGATTACAATCAAATTTAAACGCGTAAATTGTGCTGTATTGTGACTCATTCCTATTACGATAAGTGTGTTTCTCTTGTTAACAACCGAGTAAACTTTTTTAATTACAATGCGTAGGATGGGTTTTAATTGTTTCTGTTAAAAAAACGGCTGGCCTTGAAGTTAATTACGAACATTTTTCTTCCTCGTTGTTAAAACTTCAGCAAATATCTAATACATTTGAACAGGAATTTTATTTTTTTTTCAAATTTTTTTTTTATGAAAAAATAAACTTTACATAGAAGAAATGAGTATAAAAAAGTTGTTGATTTTAAATTGTTTGCTATTTGAAAATTCAATCACAAAACTTATTTCTCTCCTTCATATTGTATTCCCATAAGAACAAGATTTTCACCTGACGTAATTTCATGGAATTTTCTTATAATTTCTGAATAATACAATTTCTGAAAGCTTTAATCACGGCTTTTCAATTTTTAATAGTTCCGCAGTGGACTGATCGTTAAGACACGGTTCCCAGCAGATCACCGAAGTNTTAATGTATGTTTTTGTTACTGTTTGAGAGCAAATATCTCAAATTCGAACAATAACAAGAACAATAAAAAAAACAGTCTCCAGAACAATCAGCAGTTTTCCCAATCTCCAGAACTTATTACGTCATCTGAGATCTGATTCATAAATTAAGCTCAATAAATAAAATAAACAAATAAATAAATTAAATAAAAAATAAGACAAAAAAAAATTGAACCATTAAAGTAAGTGAGTTAATGAATCAGCAAATACGCTGCAATATTTTTTGTTGTTGCAACTTTGCCACTTGTCAATACCAGTAAAGCCTGCTTAAAACCAAGCGAATTTTTAAGACAGAGGGTGTGTTTTTTCGCCATCTAATCCCAAGAACACAATTTCAGCCACGCACACATCACAGCCTGTTTTTCAGGGAGGGCCCATTTATACTTCATTCATTCATCAGCAGATCGTAATTGTGACCTGAACCAGAGAACGATCAATCTCCAATTCAGTATCCCCAGAGGTATTGATTTGTTTTGGGAACTTGGAGTACTTTGTGACCCCAACGCATTTAAGGAGCACCAGTCACCAATAATAATATTAAATTTAAACTATAACAGATCTGAGTAGAACATTTTAAGTTGTGCTTCTTGAATGGCCCTAAGAAGTTTGCAGTGGGCTGTAATTAGTTTTAATTCATGTCTATCACTAATTAAAATCTGCCGATTCCTTATGAATATTTGGTTCAGCTTCAAAAAATATATTACTAACTACTAACTACAGTAGTTACTTCCTCATCTTCTGATTGCGGTATCTTCTACATCATATTTTGCTTCATTTTCTTACAGCAAGTAATGAAATTTTTAAGAAATCAACCTTCGAAATTTAAATATAATAATAAATAAAATTTATGCGTGGAATATTAATTAGATTGCAATCAATATTGCAGTGTACAATCAAATTTTAACTAGCTTGAAAGTGACTCATACATTGTGCTGTATTGTGACTCATTCCTATTGCGATAAGTGTGTTTCTCTTGTTAACAACCGAGTAAATTTTTTTAATTACAATGCGTAGGATGGGTTTTAATTGTTTCTGTTAAAAAAACGGCCGACCTTGAAGTTAATTTCGAACATTTTTCTTCCTCGTTGTTAAAACTTCAGCAAATATCTCATACACTTTAGCAGGAATTTTAATTTTCTTAATTTTTTTTTTATGAAAGAATAAACTTTCCATAAAAGAAATGAGTATAAAAAAGTTGTTTATTTTAAATTATTCGCTATTTGAAAATTCAATCACAAAATCAATCACATCATCTCCTTCATATCGTATTCCCATAAGAACAAAATGTTCATTTGACGTAATTTCATGGAATTTTCGTTCAATTTCTGAATAGTACAATTTCTGAAAGCTTCAAACACTGCCTTTTAATTTTCAATTATACATTTTCTGCAAGTTGCAATCACGGCTTTTCAATTTTTAATATTTATGAAAGTTTCAGTAACGGTCTTTCAATTATTCCTCAACAATACGATTTCTAGTCATAAAAATTAAGTACAGTTTGTCATAAAAATTAATATGTACCTGCATTGTACACATGAAAATATTTTACTTCAAAATGGTTAAGATATTTCGAAAGCATGTATAGTTAAAAAATTTTACTATTCAGATATTGTATTATTCAGCCATTGCATTATTCAGATATTGTATTATTCAGACATTGTATTGTTCAG